GCTGTGGATGGAAAAAGAAAGGAGCTTAGGATTCATCACTATTACCCTTACCCAACTTTGGATTACACATCTTACAAAGCCAAACAATATTCATAGGTACTGGTAATAAAGAAAAACCTTTATATATATATATATATATATATATATATATATCAATATGATCATATTAGATTAGAGCCACTTTACATATTTGATTTGGTTTCAAATAAACAAAATACATATATGCACATACATTGTATAGACAGACAGACACACATAAATAAATACAAAATAAAAATTACATCTACTTCAAATGAAATCACTATCATAGAGACTACAATATCAAACATAATACTAACATCCTCAACTTATATACAGACACTCAAATCACACTAGTTGTCATCACTCACCAATATTTCGCAAACCGTGTGCCTTCCATCAAGGAGGTTAATTCAGGCTTCTTGAATCTCTTGCTCCCAAATCCATGGGAGTGCGTCCACCTCTGAAACGTCCCATTGGCCAATCTCGGGCCTCCTTGTCCAATCTTAAAGTGCTCTTCAAAGTCAGAGAAGTCTATTCAGTTAAAGAGCTTCTCGTCGTCTAGTTCGTTGAAGATTGTCCCTCTCACCTAGGCGAAATTAGAATATATGAGTAAGTATACATGTGCACAATACACTTGTAGATAACTTGTTGCTACAGTTAAAGATATTTTGTTTCTCTTAACCTAACGTCACCTGGGAAATATGATGCCCTTTTCATATTGTTTTGTGGAATATATCTACACACAGATGTCTCCACAAGTGCTCAGCCACCAAAGGACTTAATGATAGTCTATGCTGCCTCACTTTATTTTCCTTGAGTATTCAGGAAAAGTTTTCCTTTTTAATGTAGTAAATACTGATGTTGGTATTTCTATTATTGGCATAATAATTATACAATGTTAATAATACGAATACCCATAAACAAAATAAATAAAGTATTTCCAAAAAAATGAGGAAAACAGGTGAGATGGGCAGGATTAATTGTTGACTCCTAGGTGACTAAGCAATAAGCACTTAATAAACCAAACTCACTATGGACATGTCACCCCCCAGCAGTACTGGGTTAAATATGTCTATGTTCTTTAGTGCATATCATAAGCTCAAAATATATCTAAAGACTAATTATCATATTGACACATGGCTGTGTTCTTCTCCATGTACATGAAAAAAAATCACAAAAATAGATGAAAAAACTCATTAATTGATTCAGAACTTGCAGAACAGGACGCGACCTCAAAATCCAAAACGCGACTGGAAGAAAATCAACTTCATCTTTAAGCTCAACAAAAAGATCTTACCTGGTTAGGCTTTAATGCCACCCAGTTGAGCGTCGGAAGATTGTATTTGGTGTTGACCTTCTTGATGGTCATGGAGTCAGGAGGAGACATGACAGCAGATGCCATGGATGGAGGTATGGGTGGAGGGGGTCTGGGGCCACCCATGATACCAAACGGCAACTTGGGAGGTGCAGGTGGGCAACCACCGGTACCTGGAAGTGGTGGTGGTGGTGGAGCAGGGGCCATCCCAACCCTAGGGGGAGGTAGTAGAGGTGGGGGGGGAAGAGCTGGTCCTGCCCCATCGAAGATATCGCCACTTGAGAGACATTTGCCATTAATTAACTTTTAATGTTTTTTTTTCTCTGGTCTTAAAAAAAGAGTTTCTGATCTCACGAATTCCTTTCATTACAATGAATTCATGAAAGACTAAATCGCAGAAGAAAAAAATTATGATATTTCAAGTCCTACATAGAATAATAATCAATAATTATGAAGATAAAATCTTACAAAGATTGATTTAACCTATTAAACAAACACTGTTCCCTTTCACAATATTTAATCACTTCTTTCAATCATGTCTATTTTCTTTAAAAATCATAATAATTATTACTGTTTTTTTGAGATTTTGAGCGAGCAAGTGTTTCGAGTTCTACAATCTGCTTCTCCAATAACGACTGTCTTTGCCGTGACTCCGCTCTTCTGGTTCACTTCCCTTCGTAGAGTTGACACTTCCTCCTGAACTTGCAGAAAATTTTTATTTAAAAAATGTTTAAAGAATCTGAGAAGAGAGAATACAATGACGTTATATTCATCCTCCATATAACAATAACAATAAAAAAGTATTATAGTCTCTTTATCTGATATTCTAGTTATTCCCCACAAACTGTCTTTACATACTTTTTGAAGAAAACAACAGAAAATATAAAATATCTTTCATGACACGCAAAATCACAAGATCAAAACTATTTGTTACAATTACCCTACTACTCAATTAACTAATACATAATTGAAATAGCTGAAATATAAAGTATATTTCAGGGCACAAGACTTACGTGTGAGAGTTCATCTTCCAGCTCTGCCACCCTTTCCCGTGCTGCTATCTTCGTTTCACTGTCTTCCATGAGCGCAGCTACGTCGAAAACATTATCGAGGTATGCAGAAATCTGAATCTGAAGGAATTCAAAATAATTTTCAAAAATCTTTGCAAAATGTGTCATCTGACCAATTCTAATAGCATTTCCACAGGACTTTCATTAATGCACAACATCCAAAATGAATTATATCCCTACATATACTAAAAAATGAATATTCATGATTCACAATTATCTTTTCTTTTTACCTGTAATTCTTTGCTCTCATGGTGTCTTAGTTTTTCCACAATGTTGATGAACTGCATACAAGCCACCTAATTGAGAAAAAGAAAGAAAATACTTATCAAATCTACATCATTACTTTTGTACCATTATCAAACTTAAGCGAATTATATGTATCTCCGATTTCTACTCTACAACATCTTTATGACACTGAATTATGTACTATAATATCAGACAGACAATGAAAATCTAACACAGATTTTCTTCTCCTCATTCCCAACATGAACAGAAACTCGCCATGAATTCAATGTAAAAACAGTCATAGTTTGAGAAGTCATTCATGAGTGTCTGGAAACGTTGTGTCTCCGAGCAGACATCCTTGAAGTTACTGAAGGCAATGAGAATGATTTCATGTCCTCCCTTCACTAAACAGATGGCCGCTAAGAGCTCTAAGATTACTAGTGTGCCTTTGCCCTGAAAAATAATAATAATAAAATAAAATAAAATAAAAAATATAGCAAAAATCCATAAAGAATCATTATATGATAACCAGCACACATATCGCCATTCATATCATTTATTCAGATCTGTTATGATTTTTTACAAGTCCTATTTGTAAATACTGCAGTTCTCAAACCAAGAAAGACCTGTTATTATAACTTAAGCCCTCTTATCCACAGCGCCTCGTATCAAAAGTTTGTTACTAACCTTAAACTCCTATGATTAAGACTAAGAGCAATATAACCGATGGCTTCTCGATATTCGAAAACTAAATTGAATCCATACTGTGGAAAAAAAGGTAAATGTTATCATCAAACACAGTCCTCCAATATCAATAAAATTCCACTTTTTTCTCCACTTCAACTTACAACTACAACTTTAAATATTCCACAAAAGTGATGGTGACATGGAACAAAGTGTAAAAAAAAAAAACCCTCATCATTATGTAACAAGGAAAGAGAGAAAACACGAATGATTAATAAGCCCTATTTTGTTGTTTTTCGATTCCTCTTCTTCATCTTCTAGACTCTCTCTTAATCTCTGCTCATGTCTGCAGGAAATTGGTCAATGAGTTAAATACATCAATGTAACGAAATCATATCCAGTCCGTAACAAACAAAATATAGAAAAGAAATAGAAACATTTTTTTTTTTGTACAATGCCTCATATTTGTCACCTAGTTCTTACCTGAGCATCATGATCAAGAAAATATAGTCATGGTGAATCTATATACAGTATAACCTGTTTCACTGTATTTACATATATATTCAAATTTTTACTTTCACAACCCTCTATTTTGCAAAATTTCAAATATGTATTATCATGATTTAATAAATCTAATAATCAAATATCATAAAATGTGCTCAGTAGTGTATATATGGACAGAACGACTCACCCCCATTCCCTCCCCTCCCCCTACCAGTGGGCGTGACGTAACCAATGACCTTGACGAAACCGCAAACCGCAAACCACAACATGTCCATAACAACATAATTAAGACCCGGAAATCAATAACCTACTTTCACTTGTGTGTATTATGTTCGTACATGATACATCATTAAGAGAAATAGTGAAAGGAAACTGGAACTAATGATGTAATGATGTAATGACGTAACCAATGACCTTGACGAAACCGCAAACCGCAAACCACAACATGTCCATAACAACATAATTAAGACCCGGAAATCATTAACCTACTTTCACTTGTGTGTATTATGTTCGTACATGATACATCATTAAGAGAAATAGTGAAAGGAAACTGGAACTAATGACGTGTTACAGACAAGGAACCCTCCAATGCATGTGACAGGTGACACAGGTTAATGATCAAACCACTAGACCGCAGCTAATGATGGTTAGCACGCACACTGCATCCCAAAATAGTACACCATAACCACTGAAAACAATTAACAAATCAATAACCATAACCGAAATCATTACCCGTAGCCAGCAGTGTCTAGCACACAGGTAGATGCTATAGATGACTCACACGTTGCTCCTCCCACCCACACCACAATATTCACCATGTTTAAACTTGTACCGAGATCGATAATTGATTCTGTTACAGACGAGGCGTCACAAGCAGGTTAATGATCATGAGGTAACCACTAGACCATAGCTAATGATGGCTAGCACGCACACCTTACAGTTCAAAATAGCACATCATAACAGAAAGATAACCACTGAAAACAATTAACTAATCAATAACCGCAACCGAAATCATTACCCATAGTCAGTGATGTCTCACACACAGGCAGATGCTATAGATGACTCACCCATTATCCCCTCCCACTCATACCACAATATTCACCATGTTTGAACTTGTACCGAGATCGGTAATTGATTCTGTTACAGACGAGGGAACCACCTCTCCTAATGACTGAAAATCAATAATAACTAGGTTACACAGGCCTGCCAACAACCAATAATTACTGCTCCTCCCTCACTATGACAGAGATAAGAATACAATTAAGTGTAAAGGATTATAAAACTCGTTATACAATATATGCTTTTATTTTCGATTGTATAAACACTATACAAGGTGCTCACACACACTTAACTGGCAAAATCAATATTAAATAGGTCACACAGGTCTGCTAATGACAGATAATTACTGTTCCTCCCTCGCCATATCAGGGATAAGAATACAATTAACTGTAATAGATTATAAAAATTCGTCATACAATACATACCTTCATTTTCAATTGTATAAACACTTTGGCAATATTCACCATGTTTAAACATGTAACTGAACCGATAATTAATCCTGCTACAGACGAGTGATCACCCCTCCCTAATTCATCATAATCCATAAATGTCTTGACACGTTGTCTACATTAAATCGCCAAAACACCTCAATATTAAGAATTCATTGCAGTCAAAAGGATTATAAAATTCGTTGCTGTACTCAATGTCTTTATTAAGGTCTTCAAATATGCCTTTAGTACAAACAAACAGACACAAATACAAATCATATCACCCGAGTTCCATATAACGAGGGTGATAATATGACCATCTCTTCTTGCTCAGAGGTAACGACAGCGGTGGTGCAGTCCCGTCTTGAGGTGTAACCAATCAAAATAGGAAACCCATCTTAATCCTTACTAAGATTATCAATGTTCTCATTATGTAAATATAAGACAAAATATATATGTATATGACAATATCCATTTCTCACTCCATATGCATATATGAAAAAATCATTTCAAAGACTATAATCAATATCTTTACAAATGTTTACAAATGCATAATATAACAAAGATGCAACTCTAATAAGAATAACACAACAGAAATTTCTTAACTTCGCAAGACGATTGATAAGCTATCTTACATCCCAAAGGCATCTTTCTAATAAAAATACAATTCAGTCAAAAGGATCATGAAACTCTTGTTGTACTCAATATGCCTTTATTATGACCTTCACAAAAACGCACCTAACAGGTGATAATACAAATAAAATAAAAATAACAGGTTTAAATTTTCTGTATAAATGTAAATGCGATACCCACTATCTCATACGTTTGAAAATTTCAGGCTTATACAACAGGTTAATTACCTAACAGGTTGAAAAGCCGACAGGTTTTATTCTATTTAGAGAGCATTAATAGGGTTTTCAACGCATCTGCACGAGACCAAAAACGGGGTTCCCCCTCCTATTTCCGTCTGAACAACTAATTATCTACCACCTGTCCCCATGTGCCGACCCAGCTATGATTTGCTAATTAACCTCAAGAGGCAATGTTTTTTCCCAAAAAGTGTTCCCGCCTCAGCTCTCAATTTTTGTACAATCTGCAAACTAGGAAATATGTTCAGCTTTCCCATATGTATAACTCTATGCAGACAGCCGTATCTTTGCACGTCAATACAGTGCATTCTCTTCTGATATAAAAAGACCAGGGTAAACATCGATTAGAGATCCTCCGTTTTATGATGACATAAGAAAAAGATGAATCAGAACAGAAGGTGGACTAGCTTTTCAGTAATTTACTCCTCCTCCACAAAATTGTCTATAGTACCTCCCTGCAAGTATATACAAAGAAAAGGAACTATGCAACGGTAACCACTAATGTTGGTTACTGTAGTTTCATTTACCTAACAAATATGCTGTTTTGTCTTCAACGAGAACGAGAAAAATATTGTAAAAAAGACACAATTAGCCTAGCCGATGGGAAATAATCCAACCAAACTTTACTTCTCGATTTCCCCGTCATGATCTTTCTCACCAGTACAAACATGCTATAAGAGACGGGGATAGATAAGTTGCTATCTTTAAGTCGGACTACGGCAATTTTTGGTTATTGTAGTTTCATTTATCTAGCAAATATGTTTTTTTGCCTCCCACAAGAACGGGAAAAATATCATAAAAGGACACAAATAACTTTGCCAACGTGTATAATTCAACCAAACTTTACTTCTCGATTTCCCCGTCATTGCCTTTCTACAAATATGCAGCAAGAGATGGAACTAGATAAGTTGTTATCTTTAAAAGATGATCACCCCAACCGTCGGACTATAGTGATTTACATTCAGACACAGCTTTTTAAGTAACACATGCATACATTTTCTCAAATCTCCCTATTCAAAGAGAGAAATATTTTTTACGTCGGCACTGAATAAAACTTGATACTCGATCTCTTTAATATTTTCTGAATATCTTAACACAAAGTCCTACCAAATAAAAAAAAAATATATATATATATATATCTTAACATCCTTTGCCTATGATTTTTCACTATGTTCCCTAGTTGTTATAGTAGCAAAAACATTTAAGACCCCTATAAACTATTTTATCTTGAAAAATCAAAACACCTGTATAACAAGAAGGCTTTCACTTGATTATTTTTCCCTTTTAGCATCTATGTCTTTATCAAAAACAAGAACTTTTATAAGACATGAAAAAAGAGGTAAAATAATATAACTTACCATATTATAAAGCTTTTATAATTGTACATGTATTGGACAATGACTAAGTCAAATTCGCCTAAAGCTGGGATTTTTTGACCAAGGGTATGTTTACCCATGTGAGTAAAAAAGAATATACGTGACACCCTCGATGTGATGGATCTTAGCAGACAGCATGCGATTTTTCCAACTGATAATGTTTGATGCGATTTTTAAAAATCTTTTCTTAAACCGAGTTATCAACAACTATATATTATATTTCTTAATCAGAACATTCTTTGCAAAATATAAGAAATAAAGGTGCTTTCTTGTTATGTGTCTACATTAGATATTCTTGTTTTACATGGTAGTAAAGGGGTATATGACGAGCAACATACAATCGAGGAGGTAAGTTATAGAGAAAGGGTTGAAAATCACACTCCTAAAGGGGAAAAAGCCGTATCCGAAACAATATTTTCTAAATGACAAGTAAAAAGCATTCGTTTAGGAGAAAAAAATATTCGCATTACTTCATAATAAGGGAGGGAAAAGCCTCTTTTTCATAACTTAGAGAAAGCAAAATGCCCTTTATTTTCAAATACAAGGGTGATTAAAGTATATGTATATGAACTGAACAGTTTTTTTCAGACTTGGGAAATGTATGATAGGTCTTAAAAGGTTATGGCATTGCTATCATCTTTAACAAAAAAGTCAGTTTGTTCTAAAGTCTTATTTATCTAAAGATGTCTTTCTAATCTCTGACAATACTCCAGGTAATATCCAGATGACGGACGCCCACAGACAGGTATCAGGGAATACCCCTACTTGTTACGAGCTAATGACTTCACCGACGCACTAAGACCATTAACGGACAGGCGAAGTGAGGAAGAAGCGAACAATAGAG